TCGTTTTGTGGTCGCAGAGGGTTCTTCTTCCAGGAATTTTGCCACGGCAGCAACCATTCCGTCGTCTGTCGAAGTTCTTGGACGCCCACTTCGTGGATCATCGGTGACTTCGAAATGACCAGCTTCGAATCGTTGAAACCACTTGAAGACCATGGTCCTGCCTGGAGCATCATCCCCGATGTTCTTCTTCATCTCTTCGAATGCCTGTTGCGGTTTGAAACCGCTCCGAAAATGGTAGAGGAGGATCACTCGTTTTTGTTCCGCCGAAAATTTCACAGTCTCGCGAACATTCACAGCACCGTCTCGCTTCTGACAGGTCTCCATCTTTCTGTACGGTATTAAAAATTCTAAAAAAATGTTGAAAGGGCTCAAGAGATATCAATTGAATGGGCCACAATCACTCATCACTCAATGGCGCCGAAAAATGTGAAAATCCGCGAACTTTCCGACCTCCCCACGTATCTTCTTTGAGGTAAAAAAGGGTGAAAGTCTGTCATCACATGGGCATATACTGGGTGGGTGGAAAAAGACCAGACAGTTTTCAACAGTACACTATACTGCACTTGCAGCATATATTTTAATGCAGTTTGTGGCATTTGAAAGAAGAATGAATAAGCTTTATAATGGTGTATTTACATTTCAAATATCTTCAACAGTTTCAGAAATTCAGGAGTTCATATAAACACCAAGCAAAAATTACATTGCTGCAGGACAGGATAGGGATGAACAGGTGGCAGCCTTCATGACTGAAGGTCACATGCCATCTCCCTCCGAGAATGCAGCAATGAAGATTTTGTTTGCTGTTCATATGAGCTCCTGAATTTCTGAATCTGCTGAAGATATTTGATAGGTAAATACATCATTTTAAAGCATATTCATTCCTCTTTCAAGTGCTGCAAACCACATTAAAATATCTGTAGTGCGTGAAATGTAGTGTATCATTGAAAACTATCCAGGTTTTTGGCCCACCCTGTACATTCCCTTGTAGTATTGGTGCTGGGGATTTTTTGCAATTTCAGTTCACACATATCTCACAGCACAAAAAATGAAGAATGATTTTAAAAAATGCAATAGCAGTTTGAAGTTCTGCAAGGATCTACCAACTCAGGTTATCTTCTTCCCCTGCAATCCTCATGACAGCTAGATGAGAAAAGCTCTATAAAGGGATTAGAGGGCATATTCCATAAAGAAAGGCACCATTCACTTTCCTCATTCCCTCAATTCCCAATAAGTAGGACACATTCTTTGGCACATCAGAGCAAACTGACTTACTAAAATTACAGCATGCTGAGAAAAAGAAAGTAGCATTTTTAACAGAACAGAAAAACATAGCCTTCCATACCCATTCAGCAAGATGCTCAAATTATGTTGATATGAAGTCATGCAGAACATGCATGATAACGGCAGCAGATGGGGGTCCTCATGCAAACTCCTGCATCAACACGTACCTTGTAATAGACAAAGAGCATTAAGCAGAGTAATCTTAGCATTGGGTCAGACTATGGTCTCATTATTCTTCTGAGAAGATACTACAATCCCCAGCATTGCCCAATATCAAAAAGGAGAACAGTAGGATGAAAATGCAATAAGGATTTCAATGCTGATTCCCAAGTCAGAAATTGATGCATGTGACACACAGGGAATGTTGAAAAAAAGACCAAAGACTTTTAATTTATACATCTCTGTTCCCATTATAGCAATTTTCATGAAATTTAAAAAATTTATTTTAATTGCACACAAATGTTTTCAAAATAACTTCAAAATTTTATGCAAATTCATTGAACAGAGGCAAGACAATGGAGTTATAGTTAAAAAGAAGTTGGATATTAAAAACTGATAATAGCTCATGCTTAGGATGGCTTATTCATGAGTGAATTAAAAATATGTCTATTTACCAGTCAATTGACATGTCAATATTGTCAACTATGGTCAATTAGTCAATAAAGCCAACGTTAGCTTTATATTTTCATGCACAGTTTGTGTTCCATTTGTATGTCATGACTCCCAAGTGATAAGACAAGGCAAGAGAAGTTGAAAGGTCACCATGGTCATTTATGACCATTTACGAACAATAATGGTCAATGAGTCCAACAAGAGGTTAGGGACTGATCTGACTGCATATGATCATAAATGACCATGCTGACCAGTCAACATCTCATCACTAAGATTGACTTTACCATACAGATTGCATGAGTTGGAACATTAAACAGTTATCAGTCATGTTTCAGAGGTAAATTCTGTAATTAGTTAGCTTCAGAAGTAATCTGAATAATGAAGAATACAACACAGTATCCAGAACTGGAGTTTTTTGGTTTCTGGTATAATTATTTATTCCTGTTCCTGTCAAAAAAAAAAAAAAACCTCTGCCTTGCTCAAGGAAGTTCTTCATAGCTAGATTAATTTTTTTTTGGCACAGACCTAGGCATAATCCAAGTAAATTTACTTGTCCCTTGATCACAGATTCTGAGAATGATTTGACACTCTGAAGCTGACTATTGGCCAAGACCATGATAGACCTTGCATTGAACTAAAGTTCTAAAGCTGTAACTTAGATCTGAACCTTAACTTTCTAAGTCATTCAGGCTGTAAGACCTTGAAGAGCTGAAGAGCAAACACACTCTACACCACTCAGGTGAGCAGTCATGGTAGTTTGAGCATTAGCTTTAATTTTTTTCACACCCAATGGGTGCCATAGTCCAGATGTTTGGTGGACTGCATGAATATAACTTTAAAATGGAATTGCCTTTTAGTTCTGGAGGATAAATGACCATAGTTATGAGCTCTATAAAAATTTATTAATTCATTGAATAAAAAAAAGCCATCAATAATGGTCAATTAAAAGGTGGTCAATTGACTGCTCCATTCCTACTCATGCTCTAAGTCAAGTGGGGGAAATGCCTTTGCATTGTAGCTGCATGACATCTGGGCAATAAAACATTTTTCTTCCATTGAAATACATTCTTTGGCTGGACCTGGCTGATATAATTGATGAGCTGTATTCCAATTCTTTACAAATAAATTGATATACAACAAAGAAGCAAGTTTTTTCAAAGTTTATTCAGATTTTCCTAGGTTTAGCATAAGGAGGTATGCAAAGTCTAGTCATTCAAAATGGACAGGAATCCTTGGTTCATTTCAATTTCCAATTTATTTGTGATAATTGCTCATTGCCTCACTTCTGCATAGCCAAGCATACACGAACATGTTTACAAAAAAACAAGTTAGATGATGAAAATGGACAAGAGCTCATGCTGGCAGTGGAGTACATGCCCAATCGCTCTTCCTGCATATCATCCAGGTCACATCAAATTTCTTTTTCATTGAAATTTAGACTGGCCTTTTCTTTCTTCCAGTTTTCTTAAACTTTATTTCAATTAATGACAGACAAATCAATAAAAATCAAAACAGAGAGTTCACCCATAGCTTATTCAGATTTTCCCTTGACTTTCATTGGAGAATGAGGCAGGAGGAAAAGGCAGGAGGAAGGGATTGGAGCCCCTGTCCATTTCCAATATTTGATTTCTTCTGGATAATTGTTCATTGCTTTAATTTGGCAATAGTAATTTGGATGAAATTTTGAGTATCTGTTGAGAACATACCAGTTGAGACAAAACATAAGTTTTGTGAAAATATCTCCCATGAGAGCAGAGATATACAGGTTAAAAGTCATTATTTTAGTCTCACCCTGTATAGGTTGAAAAACATTGATCTATTCTTGTCATACCCTATATACCACAGCTCAGTATTCAACACGGTATGGGCTATCACCCTTTCTTGAAAGTAACTTCCTTAGGCTACTTTTCTAACATGAGGGACATAACAGAAAAAGTTTTTAACATTTTCTCAATGGATGAGGATATAATCTCCATATAACCATTTTTTAAAATAACTTACTTGAGAAAACTTTGAAGGGAGTGGAGGAGAAAAGAAGTCCTTGATGTGCTCTTGAAGAAACCCCAAAGAAGGTGTAACTATGGCATGAGAAGCCTGAATGGAATGCCCACCTTGATAAGTCACAGTAAGGAATTTTTCCTGTGCAAGGTGCTTCCTGGGTTCTTCAGTTGCCTCATGCTTGGTGTTTAGAGTGATAGTAGGTTTCCATGTGATTTCAGTTATGGGACAGTTGAGATGAAGGAGTGAATCTGGAATGTCTTGTACAAGAACATTTAGCAGAGAGCAATATCCATGCTTCAAATTGTTGTACCGATTTCCTTCACAGTCATGGAATTCCCCCCATGAACGGAGACTCAAGTCATATAGACTGTCGCAGGCATTGTCTATCCTCTCAAATCTGGGAGAAATCGTAATGAATGACACTGACAAAAGGGAGTATTCCTAAAATGGAAAAAATTTAAATAACCAACTCACAACATGAACCAATGGAACACATCTCTCCTGATTTTGATTTCTTCTTCATTGAGGTGTAGCCTTTGAATAAGGTTCTCAAACTTCTCCTCAAAAAACTTCCCCACAGATGAGGGGATTAGAGCAGTCTCTGTTTCACCAGCAAACTTATTGCACTCCTTGTAGATAGAATAGACTGCTTCACGTACCTCTTCTACCACTCTGGCTGGGACCTTCTTCTGTTTAGTAGTGAAAAAGCTGCCTGAACATATAAAACACATAGAGGTCAAGAATTTTTCAGCTCTTCATACAAGGCAGGCTACCTATATAAAACAGAGAGAGCCTCAGAATCTTTCAGTTCTTACATAGACAAGAGACTTACCCCTTGCCTCCCAGGACAGAGAAGTTGAACAGAGATCATGACGTTTGGCAAAGTCATATACAAGGTTTTTTTCTTCTCCATGTATCCACTGGGCTCCCAATTCCAATGGATGACCATTGTGCCAAATGGTACGTATTCGCCCACCTATATGGTCCTGAGCTGGGAATACACATATTTATGGTATTCTAACCTGCATGCCAGGGGCCCACAAAGAGAGCAACATTTACCAAGTTAAATAGGCTGGGAAAAAATAGGAACAATATGAAAAAGGAAATAAATATTGCTTGAATGCATATCCAGTATTGGTATTTCTTTTAACACTGCATTTCAGAACAAAATGGGCTGCATTTGACTTCACTTAACCCTGGCATAGTAACACAGGATAACATTGTTGCCAAATGTTATGGCACTTGGGGTCTGGTGGACCCCACATTAATGTTCTAGGGTTGAAGAGTACTCATTTATGGAAATAACTCAAAATTCTAGCACCTTATCAGGTTACCAGTTACCAATATCAGGTTGCCAGAGTAGTTGATGACTGCAAACCCATCATTGACAAGGCATGTAGCCAGTAGTTGGAATGCATGGTGGGCTACAAAACCTGAGCCCCCTTCTGTAATTGAAATTCGTGATGGTGAAGCTAATGAGGCAAAATGGGTTATATTGATGGATTAAGTATTTGATTTTACATTTACTCAGTGTTGTGCCCATTACTGGCCCTGATGACAGCTTGAAGGCTAGATGGATAAGGTTGCAGTAAATTTATGGAGAAGTTGGTGTCAAACTCTAAAGTTTGGAGACCTGTTTCAAGATGTTAAAAAGCAACCACAGGAAAACTGTTGCTCTGGAGTTCCACAGAGCATCAGATCTTTGACTCCATCTTTAAACACTGAACCCATGTTTTCCCAAAAACTAAGTTTGTGGGAATTCAATGGGCAGTCTGCAGTGCTGAATATATGGGTGTTGATCTTTTCGTGAGTTATGAAGGCTTTCGAAGCAAGGTCCTGGTCATGAATAAGTATTACTTGGTCAATGTCTAAGGCTTCAGGCTCCTGCAGAAAGGGGATAACATGTTCAACCAAAATAACATTCCAGAAATGTTAACCAAGTGACACTCTATATTGACAAGGCTCTTCTATCTGTCATCAAGCCGAGTGGTAGGCAAACATATTTTTTATATTTTGCTTGTAAATGTTAAATTAGGCACTAATTCTAAGTAAAACCTGTTTTGCTCCACTATCTAACAATTCTGCTACAGAGGGGAGGCAAAGGTTTTGTGGCACCCTGCACTTCAAATTACTGCTCTGATCAAATTATTGATTAACTTAGTGATTGACATGCTGACTGACTGATTCCGACAATTATCGTGTTTTGATTAGAATTTATTTTGTGGATGGGTTGTTCAAGACTCACCAAAATCAATTAAATGTAAGAAGCATTTAGCTTGTTTGCCCTTCAGCCCAGTTGATGTGACAACTTTCACATGTTCTCAAGTGCACACTGTGGCACCTGTCCAATATTGTATTGATTTCTTGATGGCAGTTGCTTGTAAAATCAAATTCTGAATTGAACTTCTAATCTATTCTAAGCACTCCACTTCAGGAGAACTTGACACAATACTTGCCAAAGCCTTCTTATTAGATACTAATTTGACCTAAATTTGATACAATCAAACATATTTATTTTTGGCCTTAAATTCAAGCAATCTTGGACTTGTACATTTCTATTTTTACATAAGAAAGCCAAGTTTTTATGTGTTGTGCATTCTATGAATGGCAGTTTATGCAAATATTTGGGTTGACCATAAAATGAGACAGATATTAACAAGATGTCTATGCAATTTTGACACATAAAAGTTTGAAAAACAGGAAAAAGAATTAATAATAAAAACCAATAATTAACTACTGTAATAGTGAAATAATAATAAAATTAATTTTTGCATTCAGTTTAAATTCAAATCTTTTCATGCATCATTTGTTAGTATGATGCATGGAACACACCAAAGAGAATGTTAAATTTTTACATATACACAGAATGGAAGCATGGCACCAATCCTACCAGTATTCACCAGAATCTATGCTCTGTATGGGGAGATGACAACCCAGGATTGTCTTTGTGCAATGCTGGGTGCAACAATTTAACAATTTAATTTAATTGTCATCTTCCCATCTAAAATTCTCTTTGGTGTGTTCCATGCACCACACTAACAAATAATGATGCATGAAAAGATTTGAATTTAAACTAAAATGCAAAAATCAAATTTTTTTAAATTTTACCATAGATGTAGTTGATTATTGATTTTCCTGCTTTTCAATGTTAAAATTGCTTAGATATCTTGTTAATATTAAAGTCTCATTATTTTTGGGTCAACCCAAATATATTTGGCAGCTTCCAATTCCTGAAGAGGGATGTTGGATGAACTTTGTAGAGCAGTAATTTGGTTAACAGCCCACCACTCTTGACAGGTATCACTATAGACAATGGAAATCAAATAAAAGTGAAGGTCACAAGGATGCTAGAACAGAATTCTGGGATGCAAGTCATCCAACTTATGGGACAAAAGAGTGACCACTGCTCAAACTTTTAGACAGTATCTATTTCCTTTGCACTATACACACTCTCTCTAAGAAGGCCATTACATTTTTCATGACCCTTTCCTGTTCCATGACATCCAGACAACAAGCTGACTTCAAAATGGGGGGAAAGGATCATACAAATGGAAATTGTACTCAAGTTGCTATATTCTATGGGGTGGCTTTGAGTGGCCTTCCACAACATAACAGGGCAAAGGTACAATATTTGCAGGCCTTGCAAAGCTTCATGAACTTGTTCCAATGGGCAGAGGCTTCTAAGATGTTAAGAATTTATTGGAAAAGTCTAAAAACTGTTATATCATCCCGTCATCATTATCCACTATCTGATGTTGACTTCAAATGCATAGATATTGCATGATACAACCTACAACATACATACCATATTCATAGATTTTTTTAGTTTGAACCTATATGTCAAATTGCTGAATTTAGCATTGTAAAACACCATCTTTCAATGATAACTACCATGGTGCTATCAGCTTTTGGTGCTTAATAAAAAGATGGCATAATGAACTTGTTTAACCAAAAACAATGATCAAGATGAATATACACTGGTGGAAAAAATTAAGGTAACATCATTTTTCGTCAATATTTTAATTACAATAGTATATTAGATGGTGAAAATACATTACTATACATAATTTTACATGCAGATTCCGAATATCCAATTGAAATTGATCTACATGCTTTGCAACATGCAAATTAATGAAGCCTATATAAAGGCGATGGCCATTGACTTCTTCTAAGCATCTCTGTTGGAACATATGATTTTTTGTTTCATGATGTAATTATCATAACTCTGTTATTACCAGTCTAAAGTTTCTCCTTTTTTTTTTTTACATACTTATCAGTAGTGATAAATTGTATCTCTGTACAAATTTTCATTTATATACCTCAGAATAAAAACGTTATTTTGGTTTCTGCGATTGTTACCTTAATTTTGTCCACCATTGTATATTAAAAATAAAAAAGGAATGGAAAGTTCGATCATCACCAAGTAGAGTAAATCATAAATAGTAATTTCCATCATGGTTGACAACAACTGCCATGCTCTGGTTGAGGCCTACATGATAGAGATGGAATAGCATTGCATTTTTATTGAATTCAGTCCTCCGTGCCAATGCTATCATATTCCTTCTTCAGTGTGCCCCTTAGACAGAGACAATTCCAGTATCCTTCTAGGGTAGTAGAAAGGAACTTAGTGAATAAGTTGCAGCCAGTGAAGTTTTCACCAAGAAGTTGATTTTGGATCTTTGGCAATATAGGTAATATTTTCCAGTTTTATATTGAATTTTCTTAGTGGTCATCTACAATTTAGCTCCATAGAAGATCAGAAGAATATGAAAGTTATACCATACCACCAAAGCTTCAAATGAAGGAAGCAAGGCAAAGAAGATCAGATAGATTTCAGCTGGCGAATGTTGCCACTGTTCTGAGAAACAACATCCAGTAGGATGGATCTTGCAAGGTGTTTTTCCTACATAGGTGAAGAAGCAGCTTGTTGGTAGCAATGCTGATCAATTAGGGGGCTGAAGATCGGGTGGGATTTTCAAGTAGTGATGTAGATTAACCTTTAACTTGTGACTGGAATTCACACAATCCCAATGAATTATTCTTAGTCTCATGACTGGGATCTCCTCAATCCCAAAAATTATGGAGTATTTACTTCATATTGGACACCCATATATTTCCTTTTTTAATTTGGACAGTACTGATGGCTGTTGTCATGGCAACATATTTAAAGGGATGCCGATAAAACCCACAAGGCAGGGTTCACTTTGGCATTTAAATCCACCTTTTAAAGGTTAAGCATTTCTGTCATGATTGGGTGGATCCAAAGGTCTGTAGTGGCAGAACTCTGAAGTACTTGCACAGTATGTTGCAAAGTTCTTGGTTGTGAGGGAAAGTGGAGTCATTAATTTATATGTAAGACATAATGCTTACATGAAGTATGCAAGAGCTATCCAAAAATGGTGAACTAGGTCTCTTGGCCAGTGTGAGTCTCCACTGGTCAAGCGTGAGAGGGTTTCCTCAAGACCTGATGGTAACTTAAACATTCTTGATAACCCATGGTATTTAGTGCCCTACCCTATCAGCCAAGGAGGGGGGGGGGGGGGGCAGGGAGTCTATTGCTTGCAGATGGAGTGTATAGTACTCATCACCATCCCTCATCATTATGAGGGATGGAGGTCAACAATTATATACCCCTTCTGTAGAGGCCTGTTTCTTGTTGTTGTAGCCATGGTCTTATAGAATTTTGAAGATCTTCACCACTGATGAAGTGTATTCCAAGAAGTTTGTCCTTCAGCTGGCCTAACTGTTGATAGTTGGAGTGGGCTATGTCTGGGTGCTGGCAACAGTCCACTGAAAATTGGCAGTAACTTGCATTGCTTTGAACACCAGCTACAGCAAGATACAGGCTTCTACAGAATGGGTATAGTGTAGGTGATACAAATTCTGACCCTGCTATAGAGGGTAGGCCATAAATATTCACACTGCTTGTAACTTATCTATTTATGTATACCTAAAAACAGCCAAGAAAAAAAATGTTTTGTACCTATATGTGAGCATCTCTTTGGTGGTCAACCTTGGCTGGTTTAACATGAATCCTCTTCTACCTAGAAATGGCTTGAGGTTCAAAAAATTGTTTGGCTGACTATGAGGCAGAAATGATCAAAGAATATGAGTTCTGTCTTTGGTATTGAGTGGACACCTAAAGCTAAACCTAAATCCATTCTCCTCTTCTTTCAAGAGAATTTGCAAAGGCATGAAATGCCAACTTCTCTATATTCTGCTGTTATGATAGGAAGCCTCACAACCTAAAACTACATAGGTTTTTCCACTTCCTTTACCCATGATTCAATCTAATTGCACTGATACATGCAGTTTTTCCTACCTAATGAATGGAAAAAGTAGCCAGTGAGAGTAAATAGCAAGAAGCTAAGAGTGACTACAAGGGAATACCAATGGATGATATCACATCAAAAAACTTTCTGTGCATAGGCTACATAAGAAAGAATAGGATAGGGGAGCTGGGGAGGCAAGCAGAACACAAAGGAAGGCTGAGTGTGCAAGAACAGTGAAGGAGAGAGGAAATGTCCTTCTGCCTCAAATACTGGGGAAAGAGTGAGCAGCAAGCATCCCTGAGGGTCCCTTTTATGCACATCCTTGTGATGTCATTCTGCATGCAAGCATATTCACAACCTTCTCTATGCCAGGGGTAGCATGGATCATTTCAAACCTTGGGTGAGGGGACAGATTTTTGAGCTTAACCCTCAACTGGTTTGCCATAGAGAAATCCAAAAAAAAATGTCGGATGACATAATGGCTTAGATCTCCAGAATGAAACGTAGAATGGGCTTCACATTTGACATATGCAGAGCTAGAAGGTACAGGAACATGGTTTTCAAGTTTCAATTGTCTGCATTACAAAATAAAGGAATGACATCATGTAAAAAGCATAAGAACTCGGAAAAATTTTAGACACACCTCCAGCACAGAATACCTTCACATGCACCTTGCTCTTCCAAAAAGAGCCCTCCACTGCACTGCATCTCCTATCACAAGTCATAGAAGTAATGAAAGCCTTTCTAGTCGACAGAGCCTTGAAGGGGAGCCCATGAAGGTCTCTATTTATGGCATGCTTGGGATTTTAAAAATATATTTCCCACCCATCCAGTCCAGCCTGATTCCTTATCATTTTCGTATTGATGCAATAATAAAGGACTGAGATCCCCTACACATAAATGCATGAAAGACCTGCCCCTCCATCTTTAGAACCCAGCAAAATACAATTAAAACCGATTGCCATGGTTTCTTTCTTCAAACATCGACCAAGAAAACAGCTTCCATACTGTTAGATTAATGTGCAAATGTTTACATTTTATAAGAAAACATTCTCTGCTCTCTCCACTTTTAATTCACACCAAAACATTTTCAAGTAAATGAATGAGCAAAGAATACCAGGAAATTTTCTCAGAGTTATGCACACTCATCAAAAATTCCCTGAGAGAAACAAACCAGAGAATGGTTGAGGGGGTCAGAATTTGTATCACCTACCCTACAATTGTTGCCTATAGATGGCAAAAGTGCAAAGACCCTGGATGTTAACCCCTTGACTGTCATGCCCAAGTATACTCATGTAAACTCAGCCCCTAAAAACTAAGCTTGACAGTTGAGAGGTTAATATGCCTTCCTGTCCACCCCCCACCTCAAGGAGGGATTGGAGATGAATCCAGAGTGGTTCCTGAGCATCCATATGCTGATGATCAACTTCCCTCCTGACTGGACTTGACATTACAGGGAGCCTCATGATGTTTTACAGCAACCTTCCAAAATCTGGGGGCATGTGTATCATGCAGACTGCATACAAATAAGAAAATGATGGAAAAAGGTTCCCTGCATATCCTTGGGGGGTAATAAACAACATTTAAAATAAACCATGTTCATCCTTTGTGAGTGGTTTCAAGATGTAAGGTTCAGGTAGGGACATCAAGAGGCATTTTTGCCCAATATGATATCCCATGTCATGACCTAGAGTTGATATATAATAAGATGGGCATACCCTTCTAAAAGATAGATGTTTTCATGCAGGCATATCCAACTATTGCTTCGTATGAAAGTTCCATTGTTTTTTTTTGTCCATAAAAGCACCTAACCACTTCTTAAAGCTGGTTATGGAAGTGGCTGCCATTACATCATCACCTAATCCATTAGATACATTCACTACCCAATAAATAAACCTGTCATTCCACAACTAGAGCCTCACTTGGGGCTCTTGCAACTGGAACCGATTCCCTTTTGTATTGCATTTCACATCCTCTACATGGCCGGTATCACTGGCCAAATATCTCTCCCAAGATGCGAGAACTGCTTTAGGACTACTGCAAGCAGATACAAGTTGTCCCATTTGTTGACCAATTGAACAAAGATGAGTCTTCTCAAGATGAGATCATACTGGTCTTACCCTGTGATAAAAAGCAGCTTTGTTATAAGACCAAAAGAAGAGCTAAAAAGTCCCCCTATGAGTGAAATGCATATAGTTTCACTTTACTACTCTACTAGGACATCCCCTCTACTTTCTGCCAATTATAAATGCTTCTGACATGAGCTACAGTCAACAGGTCATCAATTAACTGTGACAGGAAAGGTACCATACATACCAGAAACCCAATAGAAGTGTATTCAATAAATGAGGAGCAAGAAATAAAATCAAAATAAGAGCATGCAAAGAAGCATATTCCTATGTCTAAGGTCATTTTCACCAATAATATGATCAAGACAGCAGCCACACTAAAATGTGGAAATTCAGGCATCTGCATGCATTGCCTATTGGTGTGTTGTTTTGAAGACTTCAGAAATCAGAGTTAATGGATGCCTTATAAATAAAAGTGTTCATAGTTACTTGGAAGTAGGGCTGTCACGATAGATCGATGCATCGATACCACTATCGATAGTTGGAAATATTGATAGTTTTTTCGACTATCGCGATGCATCGGCAAAATATTTTAAAGAGAAAATGTCCCATTGGATTGAGGCCAGTACTGTACAATACAGTCCGTCCGGGCGGGGAAAGGAAGAAGTGACGTGACCCGCATGGTCGAGCAATTTTTTGTCACAATCAAATTCTGGAAATGTTGGGACTGACTATATCAAAGACGGGAAGGGGAAAAAAAAGTCGGATCGGAGACAGGAAGTGGAAAAGGAGAGGGAGGAAGACCGAGAATATATTTTTCTCTTCTGTTTGTCTTGGCTCAATCTCATCTGGTGCAAGCTGCGGGCGGATGTGGACCGTACTTATACTCCCTTAATTTCGAAACGTACATTGGTTAATCCCCTCTCTATGTTCTTGTCATTCACTTTCGCATGCAGGCTTAACTTTAATTTTTAACTTGCCTTATGGCGTTTTATCTTTACTTACGGTGAACTCAAATTGAATTTTCTACACGAGCGTTGCTTATTCTAGGGCTGCACCGATTTCGGCAACCGCCTGTATGGCACCATCAGCAGGTTTCCTATCTGCCAGTGCCGATGTCCAAAGACAGTGTAAAACGAAGAAAAAGAGAAAAAATATTACGTGAAAGGGGGTTGGCAGCTGATTCTCAACGGCAATAAGAAAAAATTAGGGCTGTCCTAATGCATCCATCGATGAATGGATGCCATCTTCGATAGTTGGAGGCATGGTAGGTTTCATTATTCTCTGCGAAGGTCATACATTCCCCTTGCACCCCTGATTAAAAGCGTGAGACTTTGGACCCGGATATCGGTCCGCGCTCCGAGCTGAGAAAAGATGGAATCCTCCGGCGCACCTCCACCCCCCCCTCCCCCGATGCATCGATGCACTATCGATAGTTTAGGTCGATACATCGATGTTTTGAAAACTGATATCGCGACAGCCCTACTTAGAAGCAGCTACATATGCAAAATTATTTTTTCACAGATTTTTAAGGAAAAGTTAATGATGTACACCAATTAATGATGTACACCATCAAAATGTAAAAGCATGCCACCTTAGTTACAAGAGACTTCTTTCACCTTCAAAAACTTTGATGTTGGTAAGCCCATTATTGATGAGTGTTCTTGCTGCAGCAAGTCCTGCAATTCCAGCACCAATTACAACCACATCCACGGCAGTCAATGCTCTAGATCAAGGAAGATGAAGAAGAGGTAAAATATGACTTTATGGTTCATTTCTACAATACAGCAATGCCGACATCACACAAATGACCACCAATTGAATATAACACAAATTAAATGAAGAAGGGTCACTGTCACCTACTCGCTGGAGATGACAGATGCAATGCGGTCAGCTTCACGCCATCCTGATTCCACAGCACCATGCACTGCTGAATAAAAGCATTCATGAGTTGCTTCTCCAGCAAACAGAAGCCCTCCCTTCTTGTTAACAGAAAGCAATGGTTGTGCCAAGTCAGCAGCCCACACGTCTTCATTATCTGCTGCCACTGTTCGATAACTGTAGGAACCTCTTGAAAATGGATCTGTATACCAGTGAGACCTATGTGATGAAAAAGAGTTTTATCAATCAATCCTTGCACTGGCAGCAAGTAATGGCAATAAGCATATTTGCTACCAAAAGAAATATTGTGGAAGCTCACCAACCTGACAACAGAGACTGGTTCAGGGACCTCATACTGTTTTCCAAGGCAATTTCTCAAAAGGTGGAGACATTCAGAGGCAACTGTGGCATCATCTGAAACTGTTTCTACTTCTCTAGCAGCTGGCCCCACTATCCAGATGGCCAGCACATTAGGATGGCCCAAGACATCATAGAAACCCAAGACTCCTCGTGTCCAGTTCTGATGAATCACAACAGTACAGCAAAAGGGTTTTAGAAGCAAAGCAGTGTGACCTAAAACAAATGTTCTATTTAGATGCATACTGAGTACAGTAAAAAGAGATTCACAACTTTTAACCTTTACATCTCTGCTTTCATTGAATATATTTTTTATGAAAGCCATTTTTATATGTTATATGCATACACCAGGGGTCTCAAACTCATGGCCATGGCAAAAAATTGGGTAGGCAGCAGTGGTGCAAAAAATAAATTGGGCGGTCACCCCCCAATGATTCCTTTGCACCCATATGCAGGGCCGCCCAGAGGGGGTGGTGGCAATTGGGGCCATCTGCCCAGGCCCCACGTATCAAGGGGTCCCAAGGGGGTCCTCCAAAGGGCCTCAAGGGGTCACCGGTTTAGTTTTGCCCCGGGCCCCTGGAAACCTCTGGGCGGCCCTGCCCATATGATGCCCATTTTTATCCCTATTGACCAATGGAGCGTCCTCCTATGATAGTAGCCGGCACATTCGCTCCTCTCTCAACCTCGCTCAGCAACCCCCTCCCCCACCCACTGCTCTCCAGTCTCTTCTGAGGGTCCCCTCACCCCTTGACTACAGGCTTGACATAAGCTTAGGATTTTTGCATTCAAAAATGGTAAATCCAATTCTAACATAATCAGAACTATCCATCAAGGAAATTACTTGTATCTAAAAGGAAAAGTGATGAAGATTTAAACCTTCAATGTATGCAACTATATCATTGGAAGACACCCCAGGGATGCGAAGCACTGTCAGTCTAACAACACATATCTCTTGGAAACAGTGCCTCTTCCAGAGAGAGCAACGAATGCGGGGTAGGAATATGGAACTGAGACTGACAGAAGCATAGGCGGCGATTCATAGGGGCTCAGGGGGCTCGAGCCCCCCAAAAAATTTGGCAGTAGAATAAGGAAGGAATACTTGGAGTACTGCCTTTGATCCCCCCAAATTTTGTCTCTGAGCCCCCCCAAATTTCTCAACAAATCGCCGCCTATGGACAAAAGCCTGTTCGGGATGATTCCTTATTCAATCAGCATAATACTGTAGAATAGGTCTGATCAGATGTGACAACTACAGAGTTTTCCACAAGCACGTGCTTCTGAGCAGAGGGCGTGAGCAAGCGATTCTCAACCATCCTTCCTGGGCAAGGAGTAACTGCGCGCCGTAGGCAAGCCAACCCTCACTCATTCCAGTGCTGTGGTTCTCTTCCCTTTCTCCCTCCTCGTTCCTGCATTGACTCGCGGGAATTTGAGCCTAGCAAGCGTTGGCAGGCAGCGCCGTGCCTACTCTGGGCGCATAATCTCGTTTTGCTTTTATCTCGCAATGGAAAAAAAAAGTATTTACAGCTGTGCTAATCGAATAATTAATTAGCAAATATTAATTTGAGAACTCTGATTTTAAACTGGGTAGGCCCTGCCTACCCTGACGAGCCGCCACTGCTCCCTTCACTACAACCAAGGAAGTGAGACGTGCATTGTTTCCATATTTACATGATTCTTAATATTAACTAATCTGTTCCACGGCCTTGTGTGTAGTGAAGGGAGTCAGGACGAGTATGCCCCTCACGAAGGGAAGGCTTGTCTTGGAAGGCGCGTAGTGCTAGCCTTCTGGAGGTACGCCCGGTCTGGAATCCTCAGACACAACTGTCCTGTGTAACTGTCTGCGGCTTCGGACTCCTTTTAAAGCTGGTTCATGCCCTCGGGCATATTTCAAGCCCATCACATGTTTATCCTCTTTTGACTTATATGGAATAGCTCACAGCGAACTTATATATACTACTTGTCTGTCTAAAAGAACATCAGATCACACATGAGTCATGTGGTAACATGTGTCGTGGGCAGTGGCATATTTTACGGGGGGGCAAAGGGGAGGGGGGGGGGGGGACAGCCTCCCCCTTGGGGGTAATAATTTTCTCTTCTGGTGTCACTCGGGTGAGGTTTGGCTCCCGATTATGTTGCCCTGCTTCCCCCGACTCTTAAGCCAAATTACGCCATTGGTCGTAGGGTTTTCTGGAATTTAAGGTGATTCGAAATCTCCCTCGTGGGATACATAATTTTGATAAACCGGCAGGATTAGTGAAATCGTTCCAATATCGCATGAATGCCAATACACCACAGGATGATTAAAAATCTCCCTAACTTAAAATTTGTCTTTCCTACGGTTCGACTTGTCCCACCGTGGGCTATTCTTCCTTCGCATAGGCTAGCTGAAGGTTGAAGAATGCCACTCCTACTACTACCTGCTTCTACTGAGGTGATGACGTGGAAGACTGCGATTGCACCGAAATGTGAAAAGTCATTCAAGGTCTCAGTGTGGGCCTTACAATTTTAGATGTTTTTGGGAACTCCTGCTAGCATCATTAGAGAGCTTACAGAATCCTGTTCGCGGGACGGGAACGGAATGCTGTTCAGAGTACTGGAATAGATGTTAAGCTCCGGCTGATTTCGTTCGCAGTCTCCTTCCCGTTCCCGTCCTCATTCCGCAAGCTCTCTATTGACGACCGTTCTGCCGGTCGAATAGGCCATCGAGTTGCTGATGACGTCACGGTATCCTTGGACACTTCAGGAGCAGAAAGAAGCTAGGCCAGTGGATACGTAGGATCCATCTGCAAGTACAGGGAGTCGTCACGGGGGAGTCCGTGCCACCTCAAATTATAGTTCCAACTTTTCATAGACTTCCATTTGATACCGCTTCACGAATTTATTGACCGGTTTATTTTAACAATGCTTCGACTAAAATGCCAATTTTCATTCCCTCTGGGTGTCTTGAAGATGTAGTTTTCCCCTAGGAGTTGGAAGTAGAGGCAGTAAAACCCGGTGATTTGGAATCTTTACTCCCTAGAAGGAAGCGATAGCAATTCACGACGATTTTTAATGTCCACGGTTTAAGAACATTCTGAATCTCATTAAGGAAATTTTGAATCCCTGAATTCCACAAAACCCCATGACATACCCATTGACATACAGGGTAGCTAAAAAAAACTAAGCTGTTGACTTCAACGTGCTGAAAACCAGGCTGCAGTGCCTTGATTTGAGTAAGCTTTTAGGCATACATGAAGCAACTCTTTTGCAGCAAATATGAAGGTATTTGTTATGATATTACACTTTTTTTTTCATCAGGATGAAAATGACCACCTCCATTCGGAAAACTGCTGCAACGGTCGCCGGCTGCCGTTTGAGTTGAAGCAGCGATAGCTGCTGTTAATAAGAAAACATTTTATTTTCTGTATCAACGTTCTATGATGACCTTTTCCCACATTTTTTCTTACTAAAACAAAGCAATGCCTACCTAACCGCATGAAGGCTTGACAGTGCTCAAGACCTTGCGCGTTTAAAAGAGATGAGAAGCCAGAATGATGAAGAACTTTCCCGTAAAACAAACTGGCCAAGAAGTAATCTTGAAGACATCATTCAGAAAGGTGATGAGAGAGGATCAACAACTCGAAAACAAGGTAGTGGAAGGCCCAAAACCCAAAGAACTTGAGAGAATGCTGAAAAAGTCTAAATGCGCACGCTGAGTCAGGAGGATCAACATGGAAGTTTGTTTTACCAGAAAATTCATTCATCATTCTTCTGGCTTCCCATCCATTTTAAACTCGCAAGGTTTTGCTCACCGCCAAGTATTCATGCGAGTAGCAAAGGCATTGCTTTGTTTTAGTAAGAAAAAATGTGGGAAAAGGAAGAATCACATATTAAAACATTGATACAGAAAATAAAAAATGTGTTCTTATTAACAACAACCGTCGCTACTCCAACTCAAACGGCAGTCGGGGGCCGTTGCATCAGTTTCCTGAATGGAGGCGGTTCATTTTCATCCTGAGACAAAAAACTCGTGATATAACACACTTTTATATCAGCTGCAAAAGAGTTGCTTTACGTGAGTCTAAAAGCTTACTCAAATTAAGGCACTGCAGCCTGATTTACAGCGTGTTGGTCAATAGTTATTTTTTTTTTTTAGCCACCCTGTAGAGCTGAATGATCCTAGTGTCTTATTCATTTCATCTGCAAATGTCAGCACCGGGAGGTGAATTGATTCTACAGAAGCATAAAATTTTGCTTTCTTTTACATGGCATGAATATGAAACACACTGCTGTGGCACAAATTACTGAAACTTCACCAAAATGGGGAGGGGGTAACAAATTGCTTCTTTCATTATGGCATCATCGGCTATTGGTTGATTTACACTGTGCTCATACCGATGGCAAAGGCCCCCCTCCTTCCCTTGCAAAAAGGAAGACTTAAGTGTGTAAATGCTTCCCAGTGTTGAACTGCCTCGTCTCTTTCCCAAGAAAAATAGCGGGTTCTTCCAGCCTCTCTCACGCAAACAAATCCAAATTGTACAAGGTATTATTAAGCTTCTCTTTGTACCTGAGACATGGGCCAAAAGAATAAATCGGGAATGCGGTCAGACTTCTGTTTTTTTCCAAGAAAATGCAGGCTTATATAAATTCTTGCCTCTCCAGCTAACTAAAATCTAAACATTACATAAGTCGAAGTAGAAATCTCTCCCAGCAATTGATACATGCGTCAAATCGAGTTCTGGCATTGGACATCATGACGCACTTCCCCTCTCTTTTCCATGAATACGTAGGCTTGGGATTTGCACTTTCTGGCGGACATAATGCATTTTTTGCTTCCATTCGTCAAAAAGCTACTTTACAGGCTCGTGATTCAGTCGTTTTCAGTCTCAGAGATTGTCACGCATGCTTCCAGCCTTCCCTCACCCTCTCGCAAAAAAAAAAAACATAAGGAGATTCTGCGCCATAAATCTCATACGCTGCTACAAAAAAAATGTTGATAATGAAGAACATCGAACGATGATTTGATGGCTTTCCCCCGCATATTTTAATCGGCATCGGCACCGGCAGATATCTGCGAGATACCTGGCCATTAGCCCATCAGGGAGCCTTGCTCAATTTCCATCCCGTCCATTACCAAAAGAGAACCAATACAATGGGGAGCATTGCAAAAGAAAGAGCATGAAACAAAGTGTACCTGCTACTCCATCTGTCTTTAGTTGACCACGACATGAAGTTGTCATGCATGCAGTTCACTCTAGGATATCTTAGAACAGTGGTGCCCAACTTTTTCGGCTCGGGGAACACAACACTCACTCCCACAGCCAACGCAGGACATCAGTCACTAGTATTGTAGGAGACTATTTTAAGGAAATCTGAGGGTATTTATT